TGTCAGCGATCATCTATACTTCATGTAGAGTGATAGTATAATGATTCAAGCAGTTTAAAATGTCTACAGAATTTCGAGAGAAGAAATAATCGATTATCAAGGGATTCAAGTAGGTTTTTAAAAATAAATACAATATTATTTCAATCATAACTCATAGTGGGGCCCCCTGTGGGGGAATGCGATTCGAACAATAATTAAAGAAAAATGAGATGCGTTTGTCAACACGCCTACTACAGTCTACAGGCTTCGATTAATCGATTTGCCTCTCATGTGATGTGATCGCCTGTTCCACGAATGCCAGAGCGGTAGTTTATGGAAATCATGCAGAGGCATTGCCAACCTCCGTCGCAGGGACTTTCCACCAGCTGGGAAAGACCCTGCTATCGGCTGGTCACGTGTCTCCCAGAATCTGGGAGATAACAATTTCAATTAGGGTGGGTACCTAAGTACGTTTTGTCATTGAGCAAGGAGTGAGCGAAGAAATAACCCAGAAATCATGCAGGAAATATTTACAAAATTGTATATTTTATTTGTCATGAATACTATCAATGTAACACAATAGTAAATATCAAATTTCATTGTGCGCAGAATGTCGGAGAGCAAGATAGATCAGATTTCAATAGACAAATTATGCCGATACAACTCGTCGAAGAAATCAACACGTCGCAAACGTTAATACAAGAAAATATATTTCTACACCAATACCGACCGATGTGGCTGTTATTTAGCTGTTGATGAGGGTCTCCCAGGGGTTTTGGGGGAACAAGGGAACACTGTAAATTTTACAAGGGGAACACGGGAACAAAGGAAAACAAAATTAGGGAACAAGGGAACACGAAATATATTGGGGAACAGGGGAACAAAGCCCCTTTCCTAGAATATATATGTTTCATATTGAATATCCTAGATCAGGATTCGAAGATGTGTATAACAATAACCATTTAATATAATTATAAATATGTACAAACTTTAGTCAGTATTCCAAATATAAAGCGAATATAAACTGTTTACTTATTACAATCCCACGCCATCTTGAACAACATCAAAAGTCACGTGATAATCTACTGTCCAGTTATATGTGCAGTTCAGTGTTTCAATATATAAATCTAACATAAAGTATAGCACACTCCCCCCGTTGATCACCCGAGTTGTGATCAACTAATTTCTGTTTATAACTGTTCGTTTCGTATCAATTCTCTTCGTTTCTCTGTGGGCTTGACTGCTGCTGCGCGTCGAGGTCTCTGAGTTATAGACTCTTCTTTCTGAGGTTGGATTGTCGTTGAGTCCATGTCTACTTTCTGTTGGGTTATGTCCTGATTACCGATTTCAATTGGGTACAGCTTTTGTATAGGACGTCGAAGCGTTGTTGGTTTCTTGCCTCTCTCAGCGACTTTCACTTTAGCTCCACGAACCTTACCATCATTACCACGAACTAAGTGCATCACTCTGCCAAGTCGCCAAAGACTTCGAGAACGGTTTTCGTCATGCACGATTATGATATCATTTATCTTTATCAATTCTTTATTCGATTGTACCGATTTTCTGTCTCTATGCGCTTCTCTCAATTCCAATAAATACTCGGTTTTCCATCTTCTCCAGAAATGATCTAGTAGAGAAGCCAAGTGCCTTTCACGTTTTGCAATATCCGTTGACGTTGGTTCCCAATCTTTGTCTTCCACTTCGTCTTGCGTTGGCAAGGAAAGAAGTCTTCGACCATGCATGAGATGTGATGGTGTAACGGGTTCTTCGCAATCTTCTGTTGATGTATATGTTAGTGGTCTCGAATTCAGAATGGCTTCAATCTCGACAAGTTCCGTAAGGAGTTCTTCATACGTAAGTCGCGCGTTTCCTAGTGTTTTACGTAGACATCTTTTCACTGATTTGATCATTCTTTCGTAGAATCCACCCCACCAAGGGGCCTTTTCGAGGATAAATGACCACTTGATCTTTGATGAGGTGAAGTGGTTAATTATTCTTGGGCATTCAAATAGAGACATAAGTTTTCGCGAAGCCGATTTGAAGGTTTTTGCATTGTCTGATATAACCAGCGATGGTACTCCTCTTCTAGCGCAAAATCTCTGAAAATTTCTTAGAAAGGCTTCGGTTGACATATCAGGCACCAGGTCGAGGTGTACCGCTCGAGTCACACAACACGTGTACAATGAGATCCATACCTTCGAATCAGGATTCTTTACATATAACGGTCCAGCGAAATCTACGCCAGTGTTAGCGAACGGAAAGTCCTCTTTCACGCGACATTCTGGCAATGGAGAAGGTGGGGGCGCACGGTAGGGTTCTCCTTCTTGTTTTCGGCAGACGACGCATTGATAGATGACGCTTCGTATGTACTGTCGGCCTCTAACTATCCAAAACCGCGACCGTAATTCAGTCAAGGTTGCCTTCGTTCCGCAGTGCTTCACTCTTTCATGGCAATATCTTACGATAAGACGTGTTAGCTGATGTCGTGGATCAAGCAGGATAGGATGCTTCGCTGACTCGTGAATATTGGCATTTTCCAATCTTCCACCGCATCTAGTTATCCCTTTCTCGTCGACAAATATTCCAAACTGCCGTCTCCAATCTTGATACTTCAAATGCCCGGGAAGTGATATTTGCATTTCCTTTAGCCAGAGCGTTTCAGCTTCGTTTATCTCTTCCAACCAAGAATTCGTCAACCTTTCTTGGGATTTATCAGCTCTTCTCTTCACGTTGGCTTTTAATCTTCGAACAAATCTTTGTACATACACCGTAACTCTTAGAAGCCGATGGTAATTCGAGAATGTTGCAATGTTCATTAATTCCTTTATACCTTGACCTGTCGCTTCGGTTAACAGCGTAGTTGGTGAATGGTGTGGCTTCTTCTTAAGCTCTCGTAAACATTCTTCCGAAGGTGAAGGCTCGTCTATCAATTCGTCGTTAGGTTGCAATTCTTCTGACAGCCATGGGGGTCCATTTCGCCAGAGTTCACACTGTCCGAGTTCTGAACACTTAATGCTTCGAGTTGGGATGTCTGCTGGATTATCTACGCCGGGGCAATGTCGCCATGATGATGAACAGATAAGGCTTCGAATTTCATTAACTCTCAGCTGGACAAACTGTTTCCATTCTTTCGTTTCGCCTCTTATCCAATATAAGCTGACCAACGAATCTGTCCAACATACAACATTTTCATCCAGTTCTAGAACAGATTTGAGTGCTTCATACGTATTCTTCATAAGTCGTGAAAGGATAACTGCAGATAAGAGTTCTAGTCTTGGAATCGTTTGTTTCTGGCGCGGTGCTACTCTCGTCTTCGCTGTGACAAATGTTGCATATCTCCGCGTTGTGGTCGTAACTACAAGGTACACCACAGCTGCATAAGCTGAAATTGAGGCATCGCAGACGAGCTAAGACCTTCTCCTTAATGTGCACAAAATAGCATCTAGACAGTGTCATTGGTTTCGTTTCTTGCAAATCATTAACAAGTTTTAACCACTTCGATTTCAGTTCCTCGGTTATGGGTGCATCCCATTCAATTCCACTGTCACACAAGGACTGAAATAATAGCTTCATTTGCACAATGATGGGTGAGATAAATCCAAGAGGATCATAGAATTTCGATGCGATACTGATGATATTCCTCTTCGTTGGTTCGCATTCCTTTGCTGCCTGAGCAATTGGTCCCAAATCAAACACAAAACAGTCCTCTTGATAGTTCCATTTAACTCCTAAAATCTTTTGTTCGAATTTCTCGACTGGTTCAGACAGGTTACCAGTTGTCTCCCTTGTGTATGACTGGTCATGTTCCATTCTCAATGTTTGGCTTGATCTCGATTCACCTTGACTAATACTTTCACTGGTTTGGAGGGTATCTTGTTCATCATTGCAGTCTGCAAGCAATTGGACTTCATTCTCATTTATTTGGTTCATCAATGTAGGTGAGTTCGAAAAGAACTTTCTCAAGTTAAATCCTCCTTCTGCGAGTCGAAGCTTCGATTTCTTGTAAAGCAGGAACGCTTCATCATCGTTTTCATCACCTGCATTTAAATCGTCAACGTAAATGGATTCAAGGAATTTTTCAACAAATTCTGGGTCAATGTTTCGATACTGTTCCATATGGTGCTTAACTGTTGCGTTCAAGAGGAAAGGACTTGAGGACACTCCAAATACCACTCTTGTAAACCGTAGCGTTGTAATCTTTGGGTTGGGATTTTTAATGTCGTCCACCCATAAAAAACGTAGGACATCTCGATCGGATTCTTGGATCTGCAGCATAAGAAAGGCCTTCTCAATGTCCCCAACAAGAGCGACTTTGTGACAACGGAACCGAAGAAGAATATCAAGTATGTTCTGTGCCAATGCAGGACCTGTATATAGACAGTCGTTCAAAGATGGGCCATTGTCCTTTGCCGAGGCATCATATACAATTCTCATCTTCGTTGTGGATTTGTCTCTTCGTATTACTGCGTGGTGCGGAAGGTAATGGACCTTACCAATTTCTCCAGGATGTTGCTCATCGACCACTTCCACAATTCCTTCCTTTAGTTGCTCCTTTATGACATTGTCATACCCTTGCAGTATTTCTGGATTCTTTCTCAATCGTGTTAATAGATGCTTCAACCGTTTCTCGCTCAGTTGGTAGTTGTCTGGAAGAACAGGATGAGATTCCTTCCATGGCAATTCCACTTCGTACCGTTTATCTTTCAGCTTGATTGATTGTGTGAATTTCTCATAGACTGACTCGTCATTGGGGAAAACACCTAATGATGAACCTAGTTCCCAGAATCTTCGTAATTCTTGTGTCATATCTGTTGCATCAGGGGTCAATGGTTGTGTTGCAAACTTCAGAACATGCGTGTTCACCAAGTTAACACTGGTTTTCTCACTCACAAGATCTGTTACAGGACCAGATAGAACCCAGCCGACCTTTGTTCTCATTGCGTTGGGTCCAGAATCTCCCCGTCTAACTGCTCCAGTTATTAAATTCCAATATTGATCAGATCCCACCAAAATATCAACTTCTAACTCTTCTTCGCCAGTATTAAGATCTGCAAGATTAAGACCTTCGAGATGATGGTAAATTTCCTGTGCCACTTGGGTTGTTTGGTGTCTGAGGGGTTGACAAATGCTGTAAGTGAAAGATCGGGATAAGTAGATTCTGTCTCAATGTTGAAGTGCAGAAATTCACATGTTTGTAGTTCCTCTGCTTCGTCTCCGAATGTCTTAATCATGAGGTTTTCTGTTCCTTCTGCATCAAGGTTTAATTGATTCTTCACTCTGGTTGTCACGAAAGAACGTTGGCTCCCACTATCCAGTATAAGTCGAGCATTTACTCTATTTTCCTGCATTTCGGGTATGTATATGTTGACTTTCGCTGTCTGCAACAAGATGGATGTTCTTGTGCCAACATACATGGTTTGACTTGTAGTAGCTTGCTGCTGTTGTTGTTGTTGTTGTTGTTGTTGTTGTTGTTGTTGATCTCTTTCTCTGTTCGGTTGTGCTGGTAAGTTCTTGCCACCAATTCCGGTTTCGTCCCCTTTCTCAGTCTCTGTTGCGGGCTGACGTGGATGCCGAGGTTCTTGCTGGTTGGTTGGTGGGTCAGAATTAGGGTTAGGGTGTTGTTGTCGAGGTTGGCCGCCCATGCACAGACTTCCATGATGTCGTCTAGCACATTTAAAACATTTGATATTCGATTGGCATTCCCTACTAATATGTTTTTTTCTTAAACATACAAAACACCGTCCACTTCGTTTCAGAATATCTCTCCTTGCAGCCACATTGGTCACTGTCTTGCAGTTTAGAGATAAGTGCTTTCCTTCACAATAAGAACAGGTAGTGCCATGCAGTCCCGTGAAAAGAGTAGAAGCTGTTCCCGGTTTATTTCGTTGATAACTGGACTTTGATGGAGGTAAACACTGCAGATTTGCTCTTTCTCTAGCCTCTAATTCTTGTCGAAAGATTGTCATAAGTTTATCCAAAGACCATTCATCCTCTTGCATCTTCTTTGTTACAATAATACGTAAACCCGGTGGCAGCCGTTGCATCAATATTGAGATCATTAGATTACCATATGTCGCAGTCTCTACTCCCAAAGACTTGAGACCTCTGATATGCGATTCAACCTTATTGTAAAGCTGTCTAATACTTTGAACATCATGAAGGCTTGTTACTCCAGGTAGTTGAAGAAGGCTGTCCATATGCGAATTAATAATCTGTTGCTTGTCGCCAAATCTCTGGTTTAACACGTCAACTGCTTCCTGATAGTTTGCTGATGTAATCTTTAACCCAGCAATTGCTTCTGCTGCCTTTGATTCAAGTAGGGAGTTCAAATAGTTAAATTTATCAATATCACTTAGGTCAGGATTGTCATGAATAGCTGAAGTATAACTGTCCCAAAATGGAGTCCACTCCTTAATATCTCCCTTAAACTTCTTTAAACTCAATTTTGGTAGCTTTATCTTGGCCGACGAATGACCTATAGTACTAGAATTATGAGAATTCCCTTCTTCTTGAGTTCCTTCTGGACTTGGTGATGGATGTAGGCTCATAGGGCTCACTACAGAATCAATTCTGACAATTGTAGCATGTATTCTCTCTCTTAAAAGATCACTTTCTTCAATTTCCTTTTCAATATCTTTCTCCTCAGTAATAGCTAGTATATCATTGTCTAAATTTTGCAGAATGTCTAGTTTTTCCTTTAATGTAATCTTTTGTTGTAATAACTTCTCGGTAAGTTGTTTATTTGAAGGATCAAAATCGTCAAGAATTGTTGATGAAGCATTTATTGTTCTCTTAGTTGACGTTCTATGTCCACCCCGAATCTTACGTTTCTTTGTTGCTTCTTCACTCATAATAACAATGTTACACTCTCGAATACGTGTATACTCTTTATCTAACTTCTCAAAATGTATATAAATACCTTTTAATAATCCCTTTAGTTCACAGTTACTGTATATTGTTCTAAGGCGCAATTTCTCGTTTATTTCTCTTTAAAGCTCGTATATAATGATTCCAAATACTTGTAAGTATAATAAAATCTCGTAAATTCGCTCAAATAATCGTATAGACTTACTCAGATACTCGTAGATTTGCCAATGTCTCGATGTTCGCTTTATATGACTCATATATCGCTCAAATTCTCGTAAATATTTCACTCAATCGTTCGTAAATTCTTTCGAAGCTCGTTAATTATCTCATATGTTCGTAGATTCTCCCAAAGGACTCGTAGATTCTCCCGAAGGACTCGTAAATTCTCTCAAATAACTCGTAAATTGGCTCGTATTTCTTGAAGTGTTCTCAAAATATCAAATTTCAATCCGTTTCAATCCGGCTCAAAGAAGGACCATGTTTCATATTGAATATCCTAGATCAGGATTCGAAGATGTGTATAACAATAACCATTTAATATAATTATAAATATGTACAAACTTTAGTCAGTATTCCAAATATAAAGCGAATATAAACTGTTACGTTTACTTATTACAATCCCACGCCATCTTGAACAACATCAAAAGTCACGTGATAATCTACTGTCCAGTTATATGTGCAGTTCAGTGTTTCAATATATAAATCTAACATAAAGTATAGCACAATATACAAGTGGTACAATGGCCTAATGTATTGTAGATGAAAAATGGGCATAATATATCGTTTTCTCCAATTTGTCCAACCAGCTAGTGTACTTGTGGTAGACTGTTCTACGGGCTGCTTGATGATGATAAGTGAAGTTTCTCCTCTAGTCAGATTTTTGAGCAGCCATCATGACTTTTCTCGGTCACATTTTGCTTGCACCTGAAAAAGCAGATATCAACGGCAACGCCATTCACAATCGACGCAGCAATCACCAGAATCGAAGACGTATATGACTTCGATTGTCAGTGCATACATACAGGGTGTATCAAAAAAAGTAAGACAATTTTGAAATTGCTCTCAATTCCACAATTCTGTTCATGAAATGAAATTTTTTATATGTATGGATTGCTTGAGTTCTTAAATTATGGAAAATATAAAAAAAATTGAAAATAGTAAATTTTGCTATCCAGGGGGGTGGTCAACTTTTGCTCTCCTAAAAGTGGCTTGCGCACGGAAATGACAAACGGTATTCTTTATTTGAGTTCATGTATGAAAAGTTCGCTATTTGTTGCATTTATGATAAAATTTCGGCAGGATTTTACCGAGTACAAATCCTCCGAAAAGCCTATGAAAACGTTACATTTTTCTCTGTTGGTGCTGTTCTTGCTTCATTATGAATTCATTTTTACTCCCATGAGAGTTCCGTGGAATTTCCATAGAATTTGTGCTTTCGAGTTGTTTGTGCTGAAACGCATTTTCTCGTATAATACCCCGTACACTTTGAAATGGCGATGCCACATTTTACCCCGCAGCAGAGAGCTTCTATGCATGGTATCACAGTTCCTCCGTAGCAACAACATAAACTTGGTTCGCTAATGTTTCACGAACCAATATCCAGATGTACGATGCCCTTCACGTATTCGCACGTCTCGTTTTACATATTGCATGTATGACACTATGTCTATGTGATTTAATAATTATTACAAATGAACAGTATTTATAGAGGGTCCTGAAGGGGTAAAATGGGAACTGGGATTGATATATTTTTAGACTGGGAAAATGGGATTTGGGTTGCTGGGACTGGGATTTGGCCATTGGGAATGGGAAATGAAATCCTCAAAAATGGGAATGGGATTGAGGTAATGCGAGTCGATTCCCAATTTTTCTACGTTTTAAGCATTTTAAAATACAATCTTGATCCGCTTTTGGTGTCTTTGGTCATGATTTTTGTTGTTAACTATATTATTCACAGCACTGCGTCTGTGAACAGGCATACTCTGGCGCCCGGAATTCTGGGTTTTCTGATTAGGCGTGTCTCAGAATGCTGCAAATGCCATTTCCGGGATTCAAATTTAAAAATTTTCCGTGCCTTCGGCACAAGCCCCCGCCCCAAATTTCATACAGTGTGCGCCATTTGCACACACACGGTGGCTTAAAAGTCTTAAAACTGTTTATTGTACCGATAAATAAAGGGGTTTTTATTGACTGGGATTTCAATAACTCGGACTGGGATTTCTAATAAAAATCCAACTGGGACTGGGATTTTGCCAAAATTTCAGGTCGGAAATGGGATTGGGACCCCCCCCCTTCAGGATCCTCGTTATAAAACTAGAAGCCTAAAATCTAAATAGAAAGTCTACGAAGATATCTATAGTAGATATCTATCTTTTTTATATATGGGGAAAATTAAATAAAAATATATAATTTATATAAGACCATATAAATTTGTAAACAACTATTTTGAACGACAAGTTGTCAATTTCGAATTACTGCATGTATTCAAATTAACAAGAAATCAAATATAAAAATATTTATATACATTTGCTAGTTAAAACTATACTCTATAGCAATGTACTTAATGATACACTTAAATGCTACTCATATATAGTTTTAGTTTTAATTTAGGCTTGTACAAAAAATATGCTGTAAAGCAAAAGTGCTCGCGGGTTTGACTTCTATTATTAAGCAAAAGTGCTCGGGAGTCGGGTTTTATTTGAGCGCATAAAATCCGAACACTTTTGAAACCATAAAAGTCTGAGAACTCATAATACCCGCGAGCACTTTTCCTTTACAGCATATTTTTTGTACAAGCCTAAATAGCCTCCGTTATATAACCTCAGTCGAGCGAGATTATTTGAGAAGGATACCCAACACCTCTAACCCAACACAATAGCCAAGGCTGTCGCGCTCATTTTATCATTTCTTTGCTTGAGCAGCACAGAGCCACATAGCTGCTCAAGACTGAATTTCTTTAGATCATCCTCCCCAGTTTTTTTAACACAGTCGAGAGTTTCTTTCTAAAACACAAATCGCTAACTTCCTGGGAAACGATGTCAAGCACTTTCTGTGTAACCACCTTGCGGACGAGTTGCATTTCATATTACTGCCCGGCTGCCGTATATAGAGGTCCATACAGTAACGCTTTCCCCAATGTATTGTAGGTATCACATACAGTTTTACTCACAGTTCCAAGGAGTAGGAACGAAATATGGGACGATAAAAGCTGGGTCCATGGATTGTGTCTTTAATAATAATAGTGTAACTTTCAGCCTCAACTAGACAACAGCCGTTTCATAACAGACGTTTTTGCAAATAAATAAATCGTTATACTGTCAGAATATTGTTCACATCAACATTTTATACTGATACCTTGATCAGATCAGCTATACCAAGGGCACTTCTCCCGTCATACAGAATATAAACAAGTTGATTATTTCAAACAGGCGTGTAATACATTTTAACAGCAGTAAACACTGAGATATATTTAGCACTGAACAATTAATTAGTCACTACCGGGAAGCGGGAAGCATACGTCATGCCGTTTCCTGATTGGTCAAGTTGAAACAATCGGAATGGAATGTGTTGCTGCAGTAAGCAGTCTGTTAGTGGGGAGAAAACCTCGGACCCGCGAACAGGCTGCGTAGGAGACTAGGTCTTTGTGTGAACCAGATCGAATTACTACAACACGTGATATAATCTCAGCATGCTATTGGTTAAAACTCAGCAACTTCCACTTGTCGCAAATTATATTCAGCAGAATTCAGCAGCAGAACATTCCACACGTTCAAATTACAGATTTAGGCCAGCAAATAAAAAATATAGATGACTCGCCGACAATTTCTGGCTACATTCGATCGCCGCGTGCGGTTGAAGCCGATATACGGTATAATACATCAATGGCATCAATCTGACTTGGCAACATTCGAGTAACCAAAAACGTAAAATTAAAAAAAAGACTTTATATCTCGAACTTCGCGCTTTTCGCATCTGACTGTATTCAATACTTTAATAAAGTATAGCCTCCAGCAGAAAAACTCTTGGATTCTCAGGCACATTAATTATATATTGTAATAATTTACTCCAGATCCAGAACAATTTTACTCTTTTTTGGGAGTTGAAACGACCCCTGGAGTAAAATTAAGGAGTACAAATTACTCCATAATTTCTACTCCTAAACGCGAGTTTAGTTTACTCCTCCAGCGGAGTAAAATTGACTCCTGATGGAGTAAATTGTGGAATGCGCGCCGAAGTGGAGTAGTTTTAACTCTATTTTGGGAGTAGATTTTACTCCACTATTTTTACTCTCCCAAGTTGAGTAGTTTTAACTCCTATGGTGGAGTTAAAATAACTCCTTGAAATTAACAGTGAGAGGAATGAAATTAAAACTTCGGGAAATTATGGAGACAATAATTAGCGACACATGCAAAACCAGCCGTGTCATGTTCTTGTTCGTGTCATGTTCTTGTTCCTGTTGCACGTAAACATAGCATAACAAAACATTAATTCTTTACTTTACATAGATTAGATACTTTAATATTTGTATGTATAAATTAACTTGCAAGTCCACTGTATTTTTCAACCTAAGTCTAAGAGTATTTAATATCCTGATTGATTATAGTAAAATGCCTGACGGAATAGTAAAGTTCAAGACATTATCTCAGCCAATATTTCGTTCGGCATAGTAAAAAACATTGAGGTTGTTATCAATTTATAATATCACTGGTATGTTAAAGGGGATAATATATTACTGTTATAACTGTTGATTTTGATATTAAACAGACTGTTTTGAGACAGTAAAATATTAAATATCTTGACAATGACTAATAGTAATACGTATATATTTAGTTTCAACACGTGCGAATTAAAATATCGGACGTCAACACTTCCAAGAAAAAAATCTGTATCACCATGCCTCGGATAATAATTAGTCGTTTCCAAGAAGGGGTATGTTTAAAAAAGAGATTTTATTTCACAGCCTGTAGGAGTGCTAGTGCATGGT